AAAATCTGTGTCTATTACTAAACAAAACAGAACAAAAATAATATCATAAAATAGAATTCAAATGAATTTACTTTATTTTACCGGATATAAAGTTGTAAAGCGTGCACGATAGCATAGAATTGCATGATATATGTAGAACGTTTAAATAGAACATTTTTGTTCTCGTTTATTCCTTAACTTTTTCTGCTTTGTTTGCGATAAGATGTGACCTGTTTTCTGAAAAAGATAAGCGGAAGGAAAAACGGAAACTTTAAAGATGACGCGGCAAAACTTAGCTTAGAGATATAAAAATGCAACGAGCATTAATCGTTACTTCCGACGGGTCTAAAATTAATATTCTGTATCTCTATACGATAGAGAGCCGCCGGCGCCTATTTTCGATGAACGATGAAATTGGGTCTCTGTCCGGCTCGCTCCGGACGGGTAAACAGAAAAATTAGAACGAGAAGGGAGACAGATAGAGTTTGTGAAATCGGATGTTTGGCCCACGTTCGAAAGTGCGCGTCTTGACCGCCGAAAATAGTCCGAAAGTAAGCGCGCTTATCTAGCGGTCGCGAAAGAGGCGCATAATTACTAATTACGCACGCATAATTACACGTGATTCCGCCAAGTGGCCTTTACAATGACATCCACGCATCAAGTTCAGCAGTATAGAATAAAGATACACGCAATTGCCCTTGATCCACATGCCGTGTGTAGTATATACGACTGCTTATGATACGACCATGGGATTCGTATTAGATAACCGTGGTGATAGAAACACGATGATAATGCGCATTCTGATGCGCAACCGAGTGTCTTTTCTTCGGAAGACAGATAGGGGAGGGGGAGGTATCTTTTTACGAGTCCGAACGCGATGTGCGAAGTGTCGATTATCGGAGAAATGTTTGCGTACACGAACGTAACGTAATGTTACACATTATTCAAGAGGAAATTGCTGATAAGCTGTATATAGAGGATATCCGAGCTGACTCGCATATTTATTATAAATAGATTAGAAGTTTCTCGACGACCTCGATCGCCGCATTTCTTCTCTGATATTTCGTAAATTCGAGAGAATCAGAATTATGAAATAGATATTCAACGTGGAATTACGTATATCATGCATATATACATATATATAATTTTATGTATATAATTTCACGTTAAATTTCTTTTATACGTCTGATTCTTGAATAAAAATTACATTAGAATCGATCTGTCGAAAAATACATAATCTCCTGTAAGATTATCATATTTTTTTTTCTACGAGAATATTACAAACTTAATTAATTCTTATATTTTAGATTTTCGATATGGAATACAATACTGGGATCGTCGTTACTGACGATGCCATGGGGAATTACGATGGCCGGATTCTTTCCTGGAATCATCCTCAACCTGCTGATGAGCGGTTTGTGCCTGTACACCGCTTACCGTCTCGTAGCTGCACACGCTTATCACGGTAAAAGAATCTTCCATCGCAAAATTTCTATCGCAACGTGCGACGTAATTAATGATACTGCGATGAATTACATATAGGTGGTGGAGCAAATGTAGAAGTCTTAGACTTGTGCCGAATATACATCGGCAAATGGGCGGAACAAATCGCTAGAATCTTTAGTATTGCCGTACTGTTGGGCGCAACCATAGCTTATTGGATATTGATGGCCAATTTCCTGTACAATAGCGTCAATTTTATTTATGGTAAATATTCTTGTTCCGAACAAGACGCGAACAAAGATCCTTGCGGAATTATCTTGGAATACGGTATTCATTTTCCAGATAGCACGGCTGGCTGGTCGACGTATTCTGCATCTGAGAACATTTCGCATAAAGAAGGTACATATACATATATAAATACAAAATCTTAACTTATTCCTCAAGAATAACGTGTTTCCAGTTTGGTTTTATCGCTTGGATTACAGTTTTGTGCCCGAAAGAGATCCGAGACAATAACACCATTCTGACTCGCGAGAAAACGTTTGATACGCTGGGACCAGCTTGGGATTTGCACAATACGGTGCCTGTGTTTCTGGCTCTACTGATATTTCCCCTTTTAAATTTTAACAGCACGACATTTTTCACGAAATTTAACTCTCTCGGTGAGTATACATATACGTTAGTCACCTTTATATTTAATATACCATTCGAATGTTCTCTTAATAATATCTCATCATGCAACTCTAATTAAAAATCTGTCATTATGAGATATAAGTTTTTAATATAATCTTACAGGAACGGTGTCAGTCATGTATCTAGTTGTTTTCGTTGTGATAAAATCAGCATCGTGGGGCGTCAACATGGACCAAGCCGAATGGGCAATAAGTTGGATAATACGGCCCACATTTCCGGCGCTTACCGGAATGCTAGCAATGTCGTTCTTCATCCACAACATTGTAGTCAACATAATGCACAATAATCGCGATCAAGAAAAGAATGTTAGTTCTTTTAAATGCATTTTTTTTTACTCCATTTGTACCTTTTGTGGAGATTAAATAGAAAAACGATTTTATTTTTAGGGGAGGGATTTAACCATAGCCTATCTCCTCGTCACGTTAACTTATATCATCGTTGGAGTATCGTTTTTCATGTGTTTCCCACTGCCTAAATCGTGCATAGAAGATGTAAGTACGCACAATATTTTTCTGCGGAAACGATAAAATATTTAATATGACATGATATAAAAATTTCTCTATTTTCTAAACTGTGGATCTTGTTTCATTTCAGAATCTACTGAATAATTTTCAAAAATGGGATGGCCTCACGCTAGGTGCTCGTATACTGCTACTTTTCCAATTGGTGACTGTCTATCCTTTGCTCGCATACATGCTACGTATCCAGTTACTTTCGTGGATATACAAAGGAGCGTCTAATAGAGCCTTAGTGCTCTTCATTAATCTCATATTGGTTTCTATATGTATCATCTTCGCGACATTTGTACCCTACATTGGGACCATTGTCAGGTATACCGGCGCTTTAAGTGGACTTATCTATGTTTTCACTTTCCCGTGTTTACTGCATTTGTCCATTTTGAAAAAGGAAGGAAAGCTAGGCGTGTGTTCGGTATTATTCCACTTAGCAATACCGGTTATCGGATTTTTAAATCTCATGGCTCAGTTCTTCATCATAGATCGTTGAGCACATTGTTTTAAATCTTATAGACTGTGCGACTACATTTATATTTGATATTAATTATTTATGAATGCAATTGTGTATATCACTATGAACTTTAAGAAAATTCTGTAGTGTTCGAAAATTATACTAAAAATAGGTAGATTTAAATAGGTAAAGAAGTGTTGGGCACAAAATACAGTTTTCATTGCATTTGAGCAGTCGATTATAACAGAAATTCATAAGTTGAATTGAAAAATGTATTAAAGTTCAAGATAGCACAATAGAAATTATGTATTAAGTCAGCTGTTTTATAAAACGTAATAAATAACATAATTTATTTAATTCCTCGCGACACATTAATCTAAGAGAGATAGATTTATTTTCTTACTGTGAATATATAAAGACGCATCAATGTCAACTCTACTTTATGTACTTCAATAAACACATGTAGTATTAAATGTACAATTATTTTTATATTTCTTAGTATAATTTATTCGATCTAAATATCTATCCTCGTTACCTCAAAATTCATCTCTGAGGTATTTTGTAAACCCAAACGGTGTCAACTCCATGTCCAATCGTCACAACGGGACGCGTGTTAGGAAGAGGAAATCTGCATGCGATTACGAGAGAATCTCTACGCAACTCGGTATTGAACTTCTTTTCGATATCTCCCATCTGTAAAAGACTTGTTTTCTCTCTCAGAGTGTCACGACAAATATTGATAAGAGAACTTACCATTTGATCTACACCAAATATAACGACGTTGTCATAGTTTCCTAGATGATGTTTCCATAAATCCTGCTTGAGAAACGCAGTCTCGCTCGACAGACCGTTGATCAGCGCCTGAAGCCTCGAATACCATACCAGCCAGGTATTTAACTCGATACCGTGGGCCTTAAAGCCACGCTTTGCTGCCGCGAGAACCTATTTACAATTAAATTATCTCAATCGTCGTGTCGGAAGGGTGGAAAAATTTGTCCCCGCGCGCAATCTCTGTTTTGCATTCACGGTGTGAAAACAAAAATGTTTTTTCCACGCGTGACTCCGTCACCTCGCGATTATCCATATACTCACAATACGTCCGTCGCCGCTGCCGAGATCGATCAGGGAGCCGGAGCGGCCGTTCAACGCTCGAATAACATTCTTTATTTGTTGACGCGTGGCCGGCACGTACGGCAAACATATCTTGCGAAACGCAGGACTCAGAAATGGAAAACACACGACGCTGATCGCTGTCGCAATCCCGCCTGGCAGCAAAAGAAAACCAGCGCCTGTTATTAACGTCTCAGCGATCAATATATTAATTTCAATAATAAAAACAATATCAATATGTACCAACGAACCTGTAGCTGCAATAAAGAATAAGCCGATCTTCGACGACTTTCGCGTCTCGATAGGAAGCTCCATTTCGATCAGCCTCACTAATGTAGCTCTTTTTTTACATTATGAGACATTTATACTTGAAGGCGCTCTATAAATGCCAAACGTGTATGTATACATACAAGCTTGAAATCATAGGCTCTACGTTGACACTCGAAACTTCATGTTTCCCAGACAATCGTCTGCCTCTTGCACATCGTCCTCGTTCCACGGGGACCACGGGCACCGGGCACACGGGTTTCCACGTGCTAAGCAGAAATCGAAACTAACCTGACCCGCGCCAACCTGGCCAACCATGCTTACGTTGAGCAATATAGGCAGAGACCTCTGTTTCTGACTGCCATGTGACAGCAGACCGCTCTCAGGTTTCTCTCTGATATAGGTTATCGCGCCAGATACGTGAGTTTTCACTTGCGCAATACACCGCGCTGAATATTTTTAATCTATTTGCGCGCAGAACGACGCGTGTGTTTAAGCGCATTTTTTCCATAGCAGAAACATTCTCATCCGTACACCTGTTGACGCCGCGCGTTCCGGACGGCATGGCGAAGAGTTTGAGCGCAAAAATCGGCCCGTCGATCCTGAACGCCGACCTGGCGCAGCTTCACGAAGAGTCGCAAAAGTTGCTGGACAATGGTGCGGATTACTTGCACTTGGACGTGATGGACGGTCACTTTGTTCCCAACCTTACGTTCGGTCATCCGATTGTGAAATGTCTTCGTGGTAAAATTAAGGATGCCTTTTTCGAGACGCATATGATGGTGTCCAAGCCGGAGCAGGTACGAACGCAATTGTTTTCCGACAGACAAGAGAGAATTTTTACGTTTATAATTTAATTAACAATTTAATTGAAATAAATAAATAATTACAGTGGATCGAGCCCATGGCCGACGCCGGTGTAGATCAGTATACGTTCCATGTGGAGCCGGTGGAGGATGTTCCTCTAGTTTGCAGGAAAGTGAGGGAAGCGGGAATGAAGGTGGGCATTTGCTACACAAAAATTAATACCTGTTAACTTTTAATTAACGATATGAATTTTTAAAAACAGGTTGGTGTGGCACTCAAGCCAGGAACACCCGTGGACGTGGTGACGGACTACGCGGACCTGGCGGACATGATCCTAGTGATGACTGTGGAGCCTGGTTTCGGTGGGCAAAAGTTCATGGAGCCGATGTTAAAGAAAGTGGCGTGGTTAAGGGAGAATTATCCTGGATTAGACATTGAAGTCGACGGCGGGGTTGGACCAGCCACAATTGAAGCTTGTGCAAAGGTATAATTTGTCACAGATTACTGCACGTATAAATTCTGTAAAAAACCCGGCTCGCGTTGCAAAGATAAGTTATCAATCGTTTTTCACGTTGACGTTACTTTTCAGGCTGGTGCTAATATGATCGTATCTGGCACGGCTGTCATAGGTTCTGCCGATCAAGCCAAAGTAATGACGACTCTCAGAGACACGGTAAATTGTTATTTGGGCCACGATCGTTCAACGTAGCGACGACAACCGAGGATATTGTAAATACACAAAGCATTCCTGAGATAAACTTGCGATAGACACATTTTATATATACAATATACAAAAATATATATGTACAAAGATCTGTATTTTTGATACAGTGATGGTTGACGTGATAAAATTCAACATGACTTTAGAGGAAACATGAAGTATTTAGCTCATTTTTACCAATCGCAATGCTGCTATTTTTTTAAAGATTCGTTTGCGATTTCTTTCGCCACTAATTTAGTCCTCAATTCGGCTAGAGTCAGGAGAATAGCTTCTTCCGTTCTAATCGTTCGTGATCCTTGCTGCGGGCACACGTTGACGTATTTATGAAAGACCAGCGACGGATCGTCAACATTTAAATGCGGATCCACGTCGACGGCGGCTTCCAGTCCGGCGAGGCCTCCGAATACTACGAGACAGTGGCGATATTCCAAGCTCTTTGCTCCTATCTCGTCGATCGATGTTCCCTTATCGGACGTTCCGATCGTCAGGTCGTATCCTTCCTTGTACTGACAATTTGTCAGCACCTCTGTCAGATTCTTCGCCAGTTTGACAGTGTAGCCCCAGTAGACGCCGGTTTCTGCACGTGGCACGTTAGGCGGCACAATGATACCCCTCAGTTTCTTCCGGTTCGGCTGCTCCGGCGGTATCTTCACCGTCACCCTTAGCCCTTGCTTCAGCACCTTGTCCACGTGAATCTCGTTCAACAGTCCCACGTTCACCTGGGAGCCCCTGCCGACCTTTATGGGCTTATTGGTGACTATACCCTCCCGATACGGGAACTCGTCCTCCTGTCGCAGATGATGCGGCGCGTCCAGCGGGTTCAGCAGGCCCGCGTACTGCAAATCCTTGTGGAGCGGAAAGAAGTACTTTCTCAGGTACTGCGGGCACTCGAGGTACTGCAGTATCCTGGCCAGCTGCAGACAACCGAGCCTGGCCTCGCCCAGCGCGTCGTCCTTCCTGATCTTCCGCTTCTCGTCCTCCGTGATCTCGCCCTTGTCGTCGAACACCACGATCTCGTCCACCTGGTAGATGCACGCGGCGCGCGCGATCTGTCCCGCCAGGTAGGTGCGCAGCTCCGGGGATTGCGCGTTGTCGAGGATCGACCCGGGTACCGCTACGGTGACGGTGCGGAGGTCCCTCTGTTCGTATCTCGCACCACCTTCCGCGTGTTCCTGCGCCTCGTTCTTCGACACCTTCTCGAGTTCGTCCTTCTTCGTCTTCTTCGTCAATTTCTCTTCCCTCCACTGTTTCCGTAGTTCCTTCCGTTTACGGTTGTACTCTCTCCAGTTTTTCACCTCGGGCTTCGCCGCCGACATTGTTTCGGTTCGAAGCTCGCGCTTGATCTCGCGCGACCGGCAACGCTCCCAGGAGTCGAGCTATCAGGACGACCTAACCTCCAAAGCGCTCTGACGGACGTACGACGCACGTGGACGGATACAACAAGTGTGTAGGATGAAAAAGGTAAGAAAAGGTAAGACAAGGTAAGAAAATAGCACATCTGTGTTAATAGACAGAACCTCGAAAAGTTGGAAGACAGAGGAGGGGCGCGTTCAGCAGAACAAACCGCTCAGTAGCGATCGAACGTGATTGGCTCTTACTTTTAGACCGAGCAAATCAGCGTGGCGTGTTGATAAGACGACACTCAACAGTTGTGTCTGCTGAACGCGGCCAATATATTATACGCGCGGAGAATTATTATGGCTACCGTGAGGAGGTCGTTTTCCTGTTTGCGATTACATAGCGTTACTCTGAGAAAATTATAATTTTTAACGTAGCTTAATATTTGTAACATCTTTAGATACTTTTAGATAGCTGTAATTTATTCATTATACTTAGGCTGTCTAATCGATGCTAAATATCGATCAACATTTTCATTTCTTAACTGCTTTATAAATCTAAGAAATAAATATTCCTATATATATGATCCAATTATCATTTTCATACGATATAAAACTTTGTAAAAATTTTTCTTTTTTATTCTTACCAGATATCTATAGAGATACTGGAAACTTCTGCAAAAAAAAAAAAAAAGATATTATTTTTTGTATAGTATTATTTAAATTTAAAGGTAAATGCATGCTTAGAAAACAAAAATATATATGTAAGTATATATATATATATATATATATATATATATATACTTGAAGTTAAAAAATCATTTAATTTGAAATTTATTGGAGATATAGGCTTGTAGTTCATTTTTAATATAGGAGAGTAATATATAATACTCTCAATGTTATTTTTAAATATATAATATATAGTCACTTTTGATGGGCGGCAGTGTGGTCTAGTGGTAGAGCGCCAGACTCGTAATCTGAAGAACCAGGTTCGAGTCCACTAGGAGCCATGAAGCATGGAAATGTTTTTTCCGATAGCTGCGCCCCTCCGTGCAAGATAGGCTCTTGTGCGGAGAAAACTGGGCTCCGTCTTTCGGAAAGAGACGTTAAGCCGTTGGTCCAAAGGGTGCTGCTGCGCAGCAATTTCCTTATCAGCCAAATGCAGATAGAATCTTCTCACCTGCAGCAAAATCGACGAAATGTGATCATAATTGATAGTGTGTTCCGTTTGGTCGTGTTCTCGATAGTCCGCGGATCAGAGCGCAGCAAAATATATTATCTGCTGCTTGTCTCG